ATCAATGGCCTTGGTGGGAAACCACATGACCGTTGCAATGGCTTCAGTCAGCTGACTGATAAGATGCAGGCCCGAAGCAATGCCACCTGCGGAGTGTTGTGTGTGAACATCTGAGATGTGGACTGGAACTGCTAAGGCAAGTACGGCCGGGGCAAGGCCACATCGACCTCAGGTTGGTGAAACCACCCGTCAGGGCAAGAAAGTCTGAGCTTAAATGCACCAACCAAAGAAACCTATTTAATCTCAGATTTGGGGCTAGCCTGGCTTGCGAAACACGCACACCGAGTCCTTCACACCTTCTGGCTCATTTGGTCTATCGCAAGTCTCTGGGATCACTTCCTCTGGGCTTCTGTTCCTGCCCTGCGCAAATGCCAGGGTCTCGTGCTCTGATGAACTGCACAACTGCACACCACAACTCCAGATCATCCATGCCAAACTCTCAAACATGGTCAGCGGTGTTGTCCACTTGTGCGCACTGTCCACAACAACCTTCGGCACCCGCTTCACGGTGTCCTACTATTGTAGAACGAAGCCTTACCAGTAGGACCACACATTCATTCTCAGTACTTGAAGTGCATGTTTTCAGTACTTGGGTGTGGGTTCTTTCTAAATGCACGCGTGCTGCCATGTGCCATGTTAAAACGTGTGCCGACCTCCGTCTCCCCTGCCATCGCTGCATGGCTTTGCCGCGTTGCGTTGCAGGAAAGGCAGGTTTTTCGCTCGAAAAGGGCAGCGGTGTTTATCACATTACCAGTAGCAAGGACGCTATTAGGTGGAGGCCATCGCAAGTAGGTTGGAGGCCATCGCAAGTAGGTTGGAGGCCATCGCTACTAGCAACAAGAAGCTACTAGTTTTATCCACATGTTCTGAACTTTCCATGAAACTCCATGACATGGCTAAGACTTAAGAATTGCTCAGCCAAACTTATGGCCGATGGCCGATTTGAGCTCGCATCTTTTGGTGACTGTTGACTGGTTGAAGCAGAAGCACCAGTACCCACTGAATCCAGTGTTGTAGCTGGAAGCTAAAAGCTACATAGCTGTCTGTAGCAATACACGAGGTTGGTGCTCCCACATCTCCCACTCAGCTCTTGGGGCCAATCTTGGCCAGCGATTGACTGCTGCAACCGCGTCGGCCCTCTTGCGAGCGTGAAACTGGAACTAATGCCAGCATACAAAGGGGTGGAACCTCTGGGGCCTCGTGAATGTCCATTAACCAACTGGACAATGACAGTCTGAAAACCAAGTCATTTATGTATGTAATTTGACAGCCTGCCCGTCTGCGCCACTCCCGAACATGAATTGATTGCAAAGGGCATTGGCAACCCCTGGCGGCTGAAGGACCAGCAGCCAAGCACGCAGGCCGTGCAAAACAAAGCACTTGGCTCAAGCTGCAGACCCCACAGTGGCTGCCAGGGTATTCAAGCCGTGAGCACATCAGCAACATCACCGTGCGAGGGGCCAGATGGTCTCAGTTCACACGACAAGATCAAGTCACTAAACCCGCAACGTTGTGGTCTTGGTTTGAGGATTGGCCAAGTTGCAGTACCGGCCTTCGTTGCGGTACCGGCCACCGGAGCCTTCTGGCGTTCCCGCAGCAGGGCTAATGAGCGCAGCAGCGCCTCCTTCTCAGTCGAGATCTGCTGGGCCTCGATTGCACCATCTTCAAAGGCTAAAGCTTTAAAACAAAAGTCATGACAACAGCATTGGATATTGCACCGTTCCCTAGTCAAAAAGATTGAAGCGATTGCTGAACATCGATGGAGAAAACGGTCCACCGAGTAACACAATCTGTGAATAGCAATGTAATTTTCCACATCTACAATTATCAGGCTGCGCAACCTGCCTGGTGTGCATACTCAAGGGTCAGGTCATGGACTCTGTCCTGGCAGACTTAGGTGGCTTTCAAATGTGGGGCATTACTCATCCAGAATAATGTGACCCCAAATTTAAATTTCTGCAGAAATGCATTGGATACCATTTTTGGGGATCTATATTCTGTAAATCACGGTGCCTCCTCCTGCATCACCTTCTCTCGTTGCCGCTCCTTCTCTTTCAACCTTGGCCACGGCTTTCACATGCACGTGACCACATCACTTCTCCCAATGATTAGAAATGGGTTTGAAGAAATTACTTACCCAACATTGCCCAACCCAAATTATCAGACTCTCTGCTTTGCAAAGTCGTCTCTTCAATTTTATTTGGACTTTAGACTACTTCTGACAACCGAGAGGCTCTCGCAGCTCCTGCTGAGCCTCCATATTTTCTTGCAAAGCCATCTGCCGATCTAGATCCAAAGCTCTCCTCAGGAGTGAACAAAAGGACACGCCCTGGCACTGGGAAACATTGGTCTCCATTGGCTGTATTTCGTTGCGTTCCATGCTGAACCATAAGCATACCATCCACCCATCGGTAGCTCAAAGGGCCGATGCTCTGACCCAAGTCCAATCATTGGTCTCTGGGTGCTTGATCAGAATCACCCACTTCATGCCAAGTCAATCTACCTCAATACCATTCGATACCTAAATGATTCTACACTCATCGATCTGGGTAAGGGTCTGCAACTCTAAGCGCCACTGGGCATTGTCCAGATTTTCAGCGAGCTGCACCTGCATGGGAGCACTGCGCCGTGCATTTGATTCGAGGCAACGTCTGTCTTGTCAACTCAATGTTTCGAGGTGTTTCGTTGCCTTTATTCGCTCGATCTCTTCTTTGCGCATGGCTTGCTTCCATGCCCGCTTGAACTCCTGATATTCCTGTCCAAGGTGCAGTTGCGAGACTATTTTCACAGCCTTTGAGCTTCTACCATGCTTAGAGCACTGTGTGCACCCTCACTGACCATGCCACAATCTAATGCAAGCATAGTAAACACGCACATATATATATATATATAATATATATATATATATATACGCCAAGCAAATACTGCTACGTCGGCCGTGAGAACAGATTGAATTGTATATATACGGAACGCTAGACCCGTCCTTGGACTCCAATAGTTCATGAAGACGTTGATCTCGAGACTTTCCTTCCACATACTCTCTCCTTAGCCATTGGCGTGAGATGACCTTGAAGTATTGGGTGGGTGGCTGTCTCATATTGATACAGCCATTTTATGCTGTCACACTGTACTTAAGATTCCTTAAGCACCTAGTTGTTCAAGGCAGGTGTCATTTCTTTGGCTTCTCGATCTCTCCACTCCATGATTCTTCTGGCCTCTGCCAGGTGCCAATCTTCTGATCACTGGAGTCCAGTAGCGAAAGCAGAAAGCACAGAATGTCAGTGGAAAGGGGTCATCCATGGTCATCTTCATGTGCGTGGCCTCTTCCCTTCTCTCCTCCTCTGTTTGATTCCGTTCTTCTCGTAGCATATCCCACTTGAGTTGCGACTCCATACCACGCATTTGTCTCACCTGCATGTGACAAGAAGTGACGTGACGACACGAACTGCTGCAGTCGTGTGACGAAACGAACGACGAACGCGCCTCTTTCTTCTCTTGATCCAAACGGATCCGAATCCCAGCGAAGTCTTTGGATGTGGGCATGGCAGCCGTGGAGATCGATGCAAAGGACAAGTTGCTCCCACCTGGAGTCATTCAGTTCCAAAGGGTACCTCAAAGCCTATCCAAAGCCCACCAGCTCTGTGGCCTGTTGCCACCACTTCCTGGCTCTTGGTCTCGCGACCCGCGCTTCGGGAGCGTGCGAAGGATGGCGGTTTGACCTGGCGCACTCTGGGAGTGAACGTCCAACAGCACCTCCAAAAGCATCACAGGATATGAAAGGTCAATGTTGATCCACATCTGTGCCCACAAATCCAAATTAAAATTTGGATTGTCCTTTGACATTCCTTTGACCCATTTTGATCCTAACTCTTTTGACAAAGGGCACGGACGCCAAAGGGAACTTTTATCAACGCCTGTACTGTCGGTCTCAAAATGCCTTAACCTTTAAGCTTGGTTTCAGGAACTGTGTCATCCCCCGGTGGAGCTTTTTCACCCCGTCACCACCATGGCGCGCTCAACGAGTCCCACCTCGAGATCCTTTGCTTGCGGTCTTGTTGGTTGAGGAGATGCAGTCCCGTTTAGCGAGTTCCTGCAACAAACACTCCAACTAAAGAGACATTTTTGAAATTGACATGTACACACTCCACCCTTTGGACACCTGCCTTGGGCGCAAAGGTTGGGCTTTTGCAACGTAAACCTTGGACTGAAGCAGCTGGTACTGGGCATGAAGAAATGATGCGTGCAGTGCAGAATGCAATCTGACCATCGCTCTCTGCACACGGCCATCTGCGGAGCATCTGCAAAATTAAAACACCAAGATACTCCCTTGGAAGACACCACTGGTTGCTTACCAGTTAAGGCAGGAGTTGGTGACGGACTGGACCGCCTTCTTGGGCTCACTCCTTCGCGATCGAGTGGAGGGAACCCAAGATCTCTGCTTCGTCAAGGCTTCAATGAATGTTGGGTGCTGCTGAGGGTGGTGATGCTAATGTTTTTCTTTAAAATGGATGATTGATGCTGCCGCCATCTGCAGACTACTGGCAGCTAGCACAACCTCACTTAGAAGTGTCAAATGGTTCTCTATATTGCAAAGTGGGAGGCTAGAAAGCCAATGATTCTCCTGTGACTAGCTGGTCGGGAGTCGGACACTCAACGTGCAGCCATATACTCTGCAAACGTTAAACCCCACCGCTGGTAGCTAACCATTGCCCCGAACTATATATGTAGATCGAATTCAGTTCCAGAGTGGACCAACCATCATTGATAGGCTTGTCTGGTGGTGCACCAGTCCACGAAGCAGATTGCACCATTCCTCCCTTCCCATGAAATACGTACTGACAGTATGCATCTGTGAACAAATTTAACACATACAAAAAAAGGGGCGGCCTGTAGTAGACACACGTGATGGCTTCGGCTGCGACTTTGCTGCGCCGCCTGTGCCGGCGCTCAGAGTGGACCAAGACCTGGGTGAGCCAAACACAGGGGCCGAAGGAGGGTGGTCACCGATATCCGATGGTCTTGGCAGAAAACCGACGGTTTGGGCCATGCAGCAAATTGAATCCAGCAGATCTTGAGGTACTGATGGTGGCACTGGTGGCAGAATTGTTGGGCGATTTGTGGTAGCCATTGCTAACACCTGAGGCAAAGAGGCGGAAGTTCGAGGAGAAACGTGAGTCCCTCAAGTTTCACATGCTGAGCAAACTGAATCAAGTCTCCAATCTGCAGCTCTGCGGCTCTTGGCTGCCAGTGGGGTACGATATGCCGCTTTTGGAGACATCGGCCTGCAACAAACCGGAAGCACCAAACTCCCATGTGGGGAAATCGCACTGCCCACCTCACTGGTGCAGCTTTGGGTGTCGTCTTTGATGGACTGGGTTTCACTTCCTCTTTCTTGTGTTGTGGCGAACTTGGCGCGGATCTTGGGTAGGCCGGCTGCAGTGGATCCAGTGGGCTTGCACTGGCGCGAGCTGGGCTGGCTGCTGCTGCCACTAAGGAGCTTGGAGCCAGCTGTAAGGCGGCACGCAGCCAATGATAGAGCTGAACTGCACCTTCGTGGACTTCCGCCAGGCCGGTGCTTGCAGCGTTCCCAATCTGCAGGAGCTTCTTCTGCGCAAAAATGATATTGCTATCATTGACTTGCCCTTGCTCCAAAGAAGAGGGGAACTTGCGCAAAGAGCTCACGAAATGGCCAGGCTTCAGCAAGACTCTCCGGGCTTCCTCCCAATTCTCTGGGGCTTCAGGACCGAGGCCCATCTGGCCCAGGTACTCACAACTCACCAGGTGCAAAACTGCCAGTGTGACAGCCTCCACATTGGGAGGGACTTCAGTCAAACCCCGCAGTCCAACTACAGCTCGAACTGTCACGCCCTCTAAGGCATCCAGCAGTTTGCTATGAATATCTTCAGGGATAGTAGGATGAGGCGTTGGCACCGGCACAGCTGTACGCTCCAAATCCTCCTCTGCTGCTTTCCTCACACGCTCGGATGGGCCCTTGTGGCCCTCAGACATCTCATGAACCACTGCTTTCCACCGCGCATGCAAACCTGCTTCCAGAGCTCTGATGGCCTTGAACCGGCGATCTTCGTTGCTTTTGGATCGCAGGCGAGGACCCAAAGTGGTCATCTCCTCAACCAGGATCCTGGCCCTTCTTTGACGTGCTGGCTCCGCCGAATCACCTGCCAGCAATTGTCAGCATGAATAACAAGAGCTAGGCACATCTATATAGCAACTAGTAGCAGCTATATAGTTATATACCTCTTGTGATGAAAGCAAAGGAGGGTGGAATCGGTGCAAACTCATGTGATGCAGCCAATTTGGCCCGTCCGAGTTCGCTCCAGAGTTGACCCTGCCTCCATCGAAGGTGACCCGCTCAGAAAGGCGCCGCAGCCTTTCCTCCTCACAAAGAACATCGATGGGCCGCTCCATGGCTGTGGAAGGCCTTCAAAAAGCCAGATTCTTCAGCTGAATGGATTGGTTTGTTGGACCATTCTGGGGTGATTTTGGTGCAGAGGTATTGGCATGGTAGGGAAATGCAGGGAAGCTAGTGACTATGTGCAAATCTCTGGTTGGAAGAAGTTCAAACTCCATGTTCCGCATGGAGAGATGCAAATCTGCTGCCCTGCAAGCTAGCAGCTATGCACTGTTGAGCTGGATGTGAAGCGGAGGCTATGTTTCCTGATGTCACTTTCCCGAGATTACTTTAAAGACAGCTTTGCAACATTGACCCCCAACACGAGATCGTTGAGGCCTCTTTTCACATGGAGGGGTTGTTTGCTGTACAGCTCCTTCCTAAAAGGACGAGAGGAGCAAATCGCTCAATGTCGATCAACAGCCACTCCTACTCACGGCTCAGTGCGCAGCATTTACCTGGAGACATGGAGGTCGTCCGAAGCGATATGCCATACTGACGGAAGGCAACTGTTGACCATGTCCGTTGCCATATATGATACATGTTCTCTTCCATTTTGATCAGGAGAGTGCCAAAAACATGCAGTAGATTGAGGAAGGCTTTTCGTATGAGATCCCGGCCAAGGAATTGAAATTCATCTCTGCTTCCCTGGCGGATTCCTCAAGAATTCCAAATAAAAACTCAATGGGGCCACCTCCCACAGTCCTAAAGAGCTTCTTTAGAACAAAGCCATCATGGAACTGGGGGAATTTGGGCCTCCAGAACTCGTTGCAATTCATCCTGCCAGGTTTGCTGCAGGGTTCAGGGGTTGCAAGGAACCACTCAAGCCGTTGCTTCTCCGAAAAGTACGCGAAGCGAGCGAAGGAAAAACAATGGTACTCTCATTTTGCAAGGAAAGCGTAAGGAAAACCAAACAAAGGAAGAACTTCCGAACGATGTTGGAACACCAGCCGCCAGGACTTGGGCCGACCGAGGACAGTAAGCCTCGAAATCCTCCACACCAGCTTCTCGGCATGACTCTTCGAGTGCCCTTCGCAACATGGCCTGCAGGAGGCGGGAGTTCTAGACATCGGTTGCTCAAAGAAACGCTTGGAGGGGGTTGAAGAGAGAAAGGGGAGAGCTAGAATCTTGACACAATGAATCAAAATGACACACATACTGCTACAAGTAATTACTAAGTAGATCTAAGTAGTATTTTTATAGCACGCCTCTTCATCAGCTTCAAAGTCTGTCAGCACCTGCCACTGCTTCGTGTCATTGACAAAAAACGCAGAGCTTTCACAAGACTTGCGAACAAAAGCTAAACTCCCTGAAAAAACTGAAAACCAACCTCTGAATGAACAAACGGTAATTACAGGTGTAGGTCTAGGTGTACAAGCCGGAGGCGCTGCATAATCGCAACGATGTCTCAATTCCAAATGCGACATGAAGTCTCGCGAGACCTTAGTAGGTGGAGGATATCCTGAAGTTCTGGGGCCATTCACAGCGTTATGAGGTGCAAAGAGGTCTGAATATCAACGAGGCCAAAGCGTAGTTCGGATCGCCCCAAGGCATAGCAGCACATATTGGACACCTCAGGCCACACAATGCTGGGCGTATGCACGCGCAATCACGCGCACACTCTCTCTCTCTCTCACGCAAACATGATGATCAAAACGGGTTCAATCATGCTACAAGTATGGGTGGACTGTGAGAAAAACAAATGAAACACAACGAAACAGCTCCATGATGCCCCTTTCATTGTGTTGAGTCCTCAACACTGCAGATGTTGGAGCTCCAGGTCCTTTGTGTTTTGCCTTGCAATGCTCAATCCTCGGGTGGACGTTGCAGCGCGAGTGAACTGCAAAAAGAAACATCGACTGGCGAGGCACAAGGAGTGGCTGCTCAGATTGGATTCTGGACCTAGCAAGACGATGTAAAAAATCAACAATAACAAACACTTGGCTAACTTGGCTTAAAATGGCTCAAAGCAAGCCAAGTGTTCAACACTTGGCTCCTGACACCATGGACACTTGAAGGTCGATCTGTTGGGAGTAGCTGGTGGCTTCGGCCCTTGTCGCGGTCATTGCGTGCACGAGGCTTTTGGTGCAAGCTATCAACCTCTAGCAGCGTCCTTGCTCCGTTCGTAGCGATGCCAGGAGCCCCTAGTAGCTTCTTGTTCCTAGTCGCCTGTCGGAATGCCCTCAACTTCGATCTTGGGACATTTCTTCAATCGTCCGCAGTCATGACCTTGGCTCCAGCTGAACAAAGATATGACTCTTGTAGCATCAAGACTGTGGTGAGCACTCTCTGCTTCCAAGAGGGGAATGTCCTTTTCACCTCGACGTGCCCAGCAGCGGCTTTCAAGTGACGAGCAGCTGCTTTGTGACTTAGATTCAGGCATGCAGAACATGTTAATGTCTTTGCCTTCACCTGAAGGTCATGAGTCATGGGTCTAAATGCAGTCTCAAGTCTCAAGCAAAGCTTCCAAACCTCTGCTGCAAACTCTTCATCAATATCGTTGGAGAGCTGCAGGCTACACACGGGGCCTCGGGTTGGACACAGAACCTAGCTTCACTTCTGGATCAAATCATCTGCCCGAGTTGCGCACAACTTTGAAGGGATCCCTGGCTGGCACACTCTTTGCAAATCCGATGTGGGCCTTGGATTGTTCCTCGCCACTAGAGGAACGTTTGAAAGATCGAGACTCAATACTCTGTCTCTGCTGTCGACACTACCAGTATCACTTGGATGAGCTTGGACTTGGAGACTTCGATGAGCTTAGCAGCGAGCAATCGGATTTGAGGGGAACTTCAGGGATTGAGAGACAAACCTGAGTGACACCAGCACAGCAAGGCAGTGAACACATGCGACACTGACACAGTTACTTTTTGTGAGCCGGGAAGCGCAGCACTTAAACTCAGGTGGAATCTGCATCGCTGAAAAATCGAGAACCCGAAGTCGGAAGGTGACAACTTAAAGCTGGAGAGTGCGGAAGGTTTCTCTATATTTCTCTATTGTGTTCTTACTTGATGCTTTATCCTTTTGCTCCCTTATCTTTTCTCCCACAACATGCCTTCTGGCTGGCTTGAGCCGTTTAGCTGCCGCAGTGTGACAGGTGGTGTGCATGAAATGAAACTTGGCAAAACCTTTCCAGGGTCCACTTGACAAACAATCGAAAAGCCCAATGGAATTGAAGACCACACACCACACGCCCAAAGTTCTTTGTCCGAAGCGCGCGCTGCACCCCAGGCCTGAGAAGACAAAATGTTTTGCGCTCGCTGCACCCAACATCTCCAGGTGTGGTGCTGGTGTGGTATGCAAAAGGTCTGCAAGTCCATGCTCACGGTACTGAGATAACCTTGGAGTTGAATTGTCTGAGAATTTGGGTGTTGGATGATGTTGGATGGTGGTCCATCATATCAAGCTCTTCTCGTCTCAGGATCTGAGCGGATCTGAGGATCGAACTCATCGTCTAAGGCTTCAAATTTTCGATCGCGCTCGCTGACGTGAACACTCACCTCGTGTGCAGCTGCACTGGTGTCGCGTGAGGAGAAGAAACGCGTCGGCGTCGTGTGGCATCCATCGCACGTCGACGGCAAGCGAGGACGCCAGCAGCATTTTCCTCGACTGCAAGCAGCACTCTGCAACACATGCACCAGGCATGGCGAGTTACCAAAGCCCAGAAAGACATCCAAAGACCCAAACAACCTGTCAGCCTGTCAGAGCGGCCTTTTGCTAGCCCAGACTGGCATGGGTTATTCGGCATGCTCGTTTTCAAGTGAGACTTTGTCCGCGAGGATGCCAATAGCTCCATTAACCTTTCTCCGTGGAGTGAAGGGAGCTGCATCCCTCAAGGCTTCTCTGATAGGGCCTCACCGCACAACTTACTTGAGTCTTCGCTTGACCTGAATGACCATGGTCCATGGTTACCAACACCGCTGACTATCCCAACATTTATCCGCCGATGTTGTGCCTTCATCCTCCAGTGCAACTGGTGGCAAAGGTGGTCGACGTGCCCTCAGCAGTGGTGCTGGCTACAGGAATGGCACTGGAAATCCCTAGCCTAGCAGGCCTTGCCTTGCACACGCGTCTGATCGCCGCAAGCGTGCCTGGAACTTCAATACCATTCATTGAAGTCATTGACGTTCAAAAAGCTTCCCGAGCATCTTCACAGCCCAAGGGACTAGACGGGTTCAAAGCAAAAAACGAACTGCTACCAGGGGCACCAGTAAGTCTCGCTCTTCACATAGGAGCTCTGCTTCTTTTGGCCGCGGAACCTGTTGCGCAAACACCTGGTGGCGTGCAGTGGATATCCAAATGGACTCCTAAACATGGTCATTTGAACATAGTTCTGCACATACATAAATTGTGCTTATATTAATCAATAGATTTACAATTTACAAGTATATAATTGTATACTGGCCGAGGCTTGCGGAATCCGATTGGCCTTCGCGACTTGAGCTTCGGAAGGCTTCTCCGAGGCGGCAGTCGAAGAGGAAAGGCTGGGAGACCTACCGTGCAAGCACAACCATTCAACGCGACTGGCGGACCGACCTTACCCCAGCCAAAGTTGTCCGACATTTTGATCCCAAGAGAATCCAAATATTATACCATCAATTCATATTTATGCGCAAGGCAAACTTGGATTTTGACGATCTCGGCTCAACTCCCGGTGTGCTGAATCTCCTGCCTTTCCAATTGACACCACAAAACAGCTTGGCGATTTTCTTGGTCTGCTCGTTGCTCTGAGGCACTTCCTAAGTGACACCGCATAGCGGTTTTCGCAGCCCTGCAGTGTCAGTGCAAGCTACAGCATGTAGCAACCTAGCAATCCTGCACCGTTTCAGCATGCAAACTGATTGACAATTGCTGCTCCGGCTCTGCGATTTGCGCGGACTCTCTCGTCTGCAGCCTGCTGCCGGGCAAGGCGAGCTTGAGTTCGACGCCAATTGTTGTCTTGCTTCTTCTGCTCAACGGCCTGGCGCAGACGGCAAACAGCTGATAATGGTACCAACATGAACCAACTACAGGAAACTTCAGGCACCCTGGAGCTTGGTTCGTTTCTGCAAAGCGTGCCAAAACCGTTGCCTTCTTCATATTCTGCTTGAAAACCGTCTGATCTTGCAGCATCTGCTGATTCTTCATCCGTGTCTCCAGCACCTCCCGGGTGCGCTTGCGGACCTCCTCGATGATTCGCAAGGCCTTCACCTCTTCTGCGCGGAGCAAGCGCAAGCGATTGGCCAAGAGTTGGGCATCGGCTTCCGCTCGCTTGCGCGCGTCCCGGGAGGCCGCCAACTTCTGCCGCGCAATGCCATTCCATGTCTCCATCTCCTTCTGTAACTGCTGATGGATGTCACGTTCATCACCTAATGGGCTAACGGCTAGGGAAAAGCCAGGGTCGAAATCCAATAGCTCCGTTCCATGCAGCCAGGGCACTTTCCAGCAGCTCTTCGAAAGAGCTCTCTTGCAAGAGAATGTCACCCAGCATTGCAAAGTGGCCACAAGTGGCCACAATACGTAAGCGGCACTGATTGGCCGTTCATTACTTTGAGCCTTGCATTTACTGGTCATGAGCCAGCTCTCAAGAAGGAAAGTCGTAGCACTAGCACTGGTGATGCATGCATTTAGGCACAGCAGTGTGTCACGAATATGCAGTGTAATATAGTAATCTGTCGTAGCTTCTGTCGTAATATAAATATATATATATACAATATACTATATATATATTGCAAATTGCGGCATTCCGAAGGTCCACAATTCGTCGCCATCCGTACAGCACTCAAGAGCCCCCTCGGGTTTTTGGAGAAAAGGAGTGACCACTCTCGTGCTGCCTCCTTCCGCTCGCTTTTCACTCGCATGGTAGCGGTATAGCCTGGTTAATCCAGGTTAGTGGCCACTGAAGCCCTGCGGCAACAGTGGAGATCCGGGGATGGAATCTTTACCACGGAGTAAAGATGGGGTACCGACCTTTGACGGGTCGGCTGAACATCTTGCGATGTTCAAAGAAGAAGCGCTGGCATACCTGTTCACCCTCGAACACCACAAACGATACCTGGCAGGTCCCAGACTAGCTCAAGGGTTGACTGGTGTGGCCAGAACGGTGATTCGCAAGAAGTTGGCGATTGATCCACAGTGGCTTGCTCATCCGAGGGGGGCTTATGACCTGATAGAGCACTTGGAGCAAGCCCTAGGACAACCAACTTTGATACAAGCAGCTCAGCACATACAGAAGTTCTTTTACCAGTTGAAACGGAAGCGCAATGAGACCATGACACAGTGGACCAGTCGTCACAGTGAAGCATTGTGGGATGCGTCTAGGGCCCTGCAGCGTGTGAACTCGGAGCATAGCAGTGTGAACACTGTTGGAGGGAGCTCGAAACACACACTCAAGGCCTATAGCGACGCCAGCTGGGGACGTGGAAGTCATGGATCCTTGACTGCAGCTCGTCGAGATGATGCACTTCGAGCTGGAGCAGGTGATGGGGGACCATTCGATGAGAATGGGAGAATGCGTGATGATGGAGAAGCCTCAGAAGCAGCTGATCCGTGGGCTCGTCGCGAACTGGCTCCCTCCCAGGATTGGGATTGGGACTGGAAGCATTCAGAGTGGTCTGGATGGCATGGGAGCACATGGCACAGCGAGGAGTATGAACCTCCAGCTTCGTGGCATACGGAGGTGAAGGACTTCATCCCAGAGCACTTGACAGGATTCTTGCTGCTGCAACGATCTGGATTGGATGCCAGCGAACGTGCAAATGTGTTGGCAGCCATTCGTGGCCAGTTTTCAGTTGCAACAGTGGAAAGAGCCCTCAAGGAGCAATGGTCGGATGACGACCTCATGAAGAGGGACAAAGCTCACTACAGCGCCAATCTGGCTTGGGAGGATGACGAAGAGCAACTTTTGCTTGCAGGTGAAGTTCCACCCGATCCTGACTATGAGCCCGAAGCCTATGCAGCCTTCATGGATGAGCAGAATGTGATAGATTCTGCCCTGGAGGCCATCAAGGAGAAGAAGAGAACGCTGCAAGAGGCCAGATGGCGCCAACAACAGGTCCGCAGTGGACGCAAGTTCTATGGACCTCCCACCAACAAGGGGGGTGGAAAGGGACAGTTTCGACATGGAGATCGTGATCATGGACCTCAGAAGTGTCTCAAGTGCGGAGGCCCGCACCAGACCTCCAACTGTCCAGTACCAAAGAAGCCTCAGGCCAATGTGACTGAGGAAGCGGAAGTGGCTTTCAAGGCACACCAAGAGTCGCTTTCGTGTGAACAAGCTCAAGTGTCGGCTGAGGTCTGCGAAAACATCCGCTTGGGAAAAGGGATCATCGACTGTGGCGCCACCGCTACCTTAGGCTCAGTTGCTGCGGTCGAAGCCCTGATGCGAAACCACTGGACCAAAAAGGGCAGTGATGGAGTGGAGGTAGATGTGAATACCACCCCCACTTTTCGTTTTGGAAACAATGGAACCCAAGCATGTGTATCCACCGCCAAAGTGAAGGTGGACTGTGGTGAGAAGGTTGGTGACATGTCTATTCATGTTCATGACTTACCCAACCAACCAATTTTGGTTTCCATCAAATCTTTGAGAGCGCTCGGGGCCGTGGTGGACTTCGGCCGAAATGAAGTGATCTATCGTTCGATTTGCCCGTTGAGTGTGGTTAGGCTGGAACAGGCCGCAAATGGCCATCTCCTCATGCCCCTGAGCGACAATCTTTTGGCAGGAGCCACCCGCCGAAAACAGGCTTTTGGTGCGCTCGGTGACGAATAGGGACTCAGCTCCTCCTTGGAGAAAATGGACATGGCGTCCAGGGGAGCACTACAGACAGTTTGAATGCATGTCGTGAGATCGGAACTTGTTCGGTTTGCACATTGTTATCTGTACAGAACTCGTCGTGCACTTTTTGTGGACATGAAGAAGTTGTGACTAAAACTTGTTGTGATAATGATAATATCAGGTCCGTGCTTGAGTCTAATGTTTTTAATTCTGTTTTATCCCAACAGCAGCACTCTACAGCATCCAGCAGTGGACAGCTAGATTCGCCAAGTCTTTCAGCAAGTGATCATGCCGACCGAGACCAAACAGGAGCTCATTCGCAAGATCGAGGAGCTGGGAGAGGCAGCCTCATCCAGCATGACGGTGATGCAGCTGAAGGCACTTCTGTCGGAGTTGAAGACGTCAGCCAAGGAGTCAGATCGGTTTGCTCTTCAGAACAAACTGCAGGCCTTGAACAAGGCCGCAAAGAAGAAGGCGACTCTCCAGGCACTGGCAGACGACATGAACGTGTCCTACACAGCAAGCAACACCATTCCTCAGATCTATGCAAAGGTCGAGGAGAAGGTTTCGATGGAGCACCCAGGCAACCCTTGGGACAAGGTGAATTTCGGCAAGCATGCCGAATGCAACTACAAGGACATCCTGGAGACACATCGCAGCTATGGGCAGTGGGTGATCCAGACAACAAAGGAGAATCCTACGGGAGCCCATTGGCGACTTCGTCGACTGGCACAATGGTTGGAAGAGAACTGGGACACACCGGTGAGGAAGGGCCCAGAGATCCGTTCGCTGACACGGCCATCCTCCAGCCGGGGCAAAAGCTCGGGCTACCAACCGACGGCCCAGGACCTGGCAGACCTGCGCCGAGAGATGATGGAGCCTCACTCCGACAGTTCTTTCGTGAAGGTGAACCCGTCCGATTCCGAGCAGGAGTTGGAGCGAATGAAGGCCGAACTGGAACAACTGAAGTCGGAGAACGCCCAGCTGACCCGGCAGGCGGAGCGCAGCAAGTCCCGCAAGGAGATGTGAGAGAGTTGATTGAGCCAGATAGTGATTCAGAGTGGCAGTCGTGTCCGGAACAGCAGTGCTTTCATACTCACAAGAAGATTGGACAATCATGGCTTGAGAATCGCAATCCATATGGTCAAGTTTGGAATGAACTCATTCGACAAGGTCGTGTTTTCCTTCTTGAGGTGGCATGTGGGCCGCAGAGTGTTCTTTCAGAAGAAGTCATGAAACAGCTTGGACCGGACACAGCCGTTCGATGTTCTATTTGGAATGGCTATGATTTGACAACGACCACAGGTGTAAACAAACTCAAGAAACTGATTCGAGAGACTCGACCAGTTCACATTTGGGTTTCTTGTGACTGTGGACCCTACTCACCATTACAGAGGTTGAATCAGAAAACACCAGAACAAAAGCAGGTTTTAGAATCAAAGAGAGAATACGCTCGTAGAGAGTACAGTGGAGGCATTGAAGTGGCCACCTACGGTCGGCGTCATGGTTCTCAGGTTCATTGGGAGCTCTCCGAACGCTGCGAAGCATGGAACCTTTCATGCATCCAGGCCTTTCTCTCTCAACTAGGCCTCCAAAAGGTCACCTGCAATGGTTGTTGTGTTGGCCTCCGAGCCCATGATACCGGAGATCTTATGTGCAAGGGTTGGAGCATTGCTACAACAAACACTAGCCTGTTGAGACACCTTCACCTTCCCTGTCAAAGGAACCACAAAAAGGTAGTGTGTGAGAGCGGTAGGCCAGCACAATCCGCATACTACACTCCAGTGTTTGCGAAAAAGGTGGTGGAGGCTCTACGAGAACATGAGACCTGGTCAGTTTTGACGTGTGAGCTCAGCGAGACTACATGTTCGGAAGATCCTCTCTTTTGTGTTGAACCTTGTGAAACAGCATTGGTCAATGACGGAGAGATTTCAGTCGAGGAGAAACAACGAATCATGAGGCTCATCCGGCATATTCACTGTACCACAGGTCATGGTTCCATTGCAACGCTAGTGAACTCCCTAAAACATAGGGGAGTGCCTGAGAGGATCCTGAATTTGGCTCGCGAGTTCAAGTGTGTGATTTGCGAGGAAAGGAAGCGAACCACACCGCATCGACAAGCAACCTTGGAGACATTGGCAAAGAAGTGGCAGCGACTTCAGTGTGACTTGGGATCCTGGACACATCCACAAACAAAGCATAAAGTGAAGTTCATTCTCTTCATTGATGAAGGATGCCGTTTCCGGGTGGGTCGCATACTATTTGAAAACAGTCGCAATCAGGCTACTTGGCCCATTGTCAGAAAGGTGTTTGAAGAAGCATGGCTAGCATCGTTCGGTCAGCCCGAAGAGATTCGTGCGGATCCAGAGGGCATTTGGAGAAGCTCATCTTGAGCCCAATTCCCGCAGAGGCACATTGGCAGATAGGTGTAGTTGAAGAGGCAATAGAAGCTCTGAAACACGTCATGACATCGTTGGCCCAGGATTTCTCTGAGATGGAGGTGTCAGAACTTTTCTACAGGTCAATTTGGGCATGCAATAGTAGAGACAACCAACATGGATACTCACCTGCTCAACATGCCATGGGAAGATCTCCAGATGAATGGGGAAGATTGTTCGATAGTGAGGTTGAAGGTCATCCCATTCACCCCCAGCAGATGGTCGATGGAGGTTTCAAGGAGAACATTCAGGCGATGGCAGCAGCAGAACAGAGTTTTCTCAAATTCCAGGCCAAGACAAGGCTTGCCAGAGCAGAAGCTGCCGGCACTCGGCCCTTGAAGTCATTCGCTCCAGGAGATCTAGTGTTCTACTGGCGAAAACAAGTCCAGGGCGGCGGTGACAAAGGCTTCTCTTGGCGAGGACAATTCCTTGGCCCAGCTCGAGTTTTAGCCGTAGAGACTCGAGTAGATGATGAGGGCAAGCTTCGGCCCGGCAGCTGCGTTTGGTTACATCGTGCAGGGAGGCTGATCAAAGCCGCACCAGAGCAACTGCGAGCAGCATCCAGTCGGGAGAAGGCAGTTGAAGAACTCGAAGGACCATGTGAGATCCCTTGGACCATTACAAGCTTAGCTTCCCATCCACAGAGATCAACATACTGGGATATTTCCTCAGAGGTCCCCAACAATCAACAGTGGCAAGAAGCATCAGAACATCCTACAGGTAGGCGGCGATGTGTTGGAAAGAGAACTATGGAATCTACAGATACAAGAGCAGCCCGACCCCGACTGGATGAGCAGGATGCTGAGATGCCCGCAGCTTCAGAAGCAGCACAAGTGACAGAGGAACAAACTTTCACAGTGTTTGAGGTGACAGTTGATATTCCGAGTTCAAACAGGGGCTTCAAGAGGTTTTGTCAAAATCCAGAGGCGTTTGTGGTCAACCAGATCAAAAGATCCCACATAGAGGTTCGTGAACGATCCATGACAGACTCTGAATTGGCGGAATTCAAGGAAGCAAAGGGTAAGGAAGTTCGCAATTACATTCAATCCCATTGTTTCAAAGTGCTGCCTCCAGAGTTGCAGAATGCAGATGATGCAGTGGGCATGAGATGGGTGCTCACGTGGAAGCTGGGAGACGATCCAGATCGTCCGCGGAAGGCAAAAGCCAGGGCAGTGATTTTAGGCTATCAGGACAAAGACTATGAGTACAAACAGACTTCAAGTCCTACTTTGTCTCGATCAGGTCGCCAATTGTTTTTAGCCTTTTGCTCCAGACATCACTTCCGAGTCCGCAAGGGCGATGTGAGTTCAGCATTTCTCCAGGGGGATGAACTGGAGAATGGAATGCTCGTACAACCAACAAGAGAGATTTGCGAAGCTCTACAGATTCCGGAGGGATCCGTGACACAATTACAGAGAGCAGCGTATGGATTGGTTGAAGCACCTTTATGGTGGTACAAAAGTGTCTCTAGCTATTTGCTTTCAATTGGGTATTCTCGAATGAAGACAGAACCTTGCATTTGGGTATACTTTGACAAACAACAAAAGCCGAGATCAGCAATCAGTGGTCATGTGGATGATTTTCTTTTTGCAGGTTGCGATGGTGACCAGGTACATCAAGAGTTGATGAGCTTGATCCAAGCAAAGTTCAAGTGGGGAACATGGGAAGACAGTCCATTTCTTCAATGTGGTGTTAAGGTGATACAAGATGATCGGTTTGGTTTCACACTGTCACAACAAGACTTCATTGAGGGTTTAACTCCCATCAAACTTTCCCGAGACCGTGTTCGACAACGAGAACAATCCACTACAGATCGTGAGAAGTCTCAAATGCGAGCAGTGTTGGGAAGCTTGAGCTGGGTTTGTGGACAGACCAATGTGTTACACAGTGTTGATGTGAACTACTTGGTTTCCACTATACCTCTCAGTACAATTCAAGATGTGGTGAAACTCAACAACATAGTGGAAGAGGTAAAGCGCACAGCACCACAACTCAAGATACATGCACTACAAAAGGGTGAACCTGTGGATTTGGTTGCATGGGGTGACGCCGCTTGGGCGAACAGGCCAGACAATATAGCAAGCACCGAAGGGATTGTTTTGGGCATGGCGCCAAAAGCTCTCAGACAAGGATCCTTGACCAACGTCTCTCTGCTCAGCTGGAAATCCGGCAAGATAGAACGCAAATGCCGATCGCCGGCGTGTGCCGAAGTTCATGCCGTAGTCAACGCTGAGGACGAACTGTATCATATGAGATACCTTTGGTCGGAGATGCATTTTCCCAGAAGTGTTTTGAACACCTTGACAGCAGCCAAGATCGTAGCACTTTCACCAGGCATTGTGGTTACAGACAGCAAGAATTTATACGATAGGTTGGACAAAGACACGCCAACAATCAAAGGTGAAGAGAAACGAGCAACAATCGAGGCATTGGCTCTCAAGGACTCCTCAGAAGAATCAGGTACTGAACTTCGTTGGGTTCACTCGGACGCCCAGCTTGGAAACTCGTTGACAAAACCCACAGAGAAGGGACAATTACAACTGTTTTTCAAGTTGGGACAGAGATGGAGGATCGTGTATGATGAGAACATGAGGTCAGCAAGAAAACGCAAAGCTGTTGGGATAAAACCTATGGATAACTAGTTCGTGTGTGTTTGTGATTTTGTTTGATTTGACTTTTAAATTTAACGTCCACCAGTGCAAATTGCGGCATTCCGAAGGTCCACAATTCGTCGCCATCCGTACAGCACTCAAGAGCCCCCTCGGGTTTTTGGAGAAAAGGAGTGACCACTCTCGTGCTGCCCTTCCGCTCGCTTTTCACTCGCATATATATTATCTTGGTGACTCCCTTCTGCTAGAACATGCTAAATCCATTTAAAAGCCGGCTCTTTTGATAGGAACCATACTTTCTCCTCTCTGTCTCTGGACCTCGGTGAGAGCGTGCTGCGAGACATCGCCAGCTGCCTCACAACACGCATCTTTGGCCATGTGCACTCTCTCCCCACCTACTAGGAGCAAAAGACGCTACTAGGAGCAAAGGGCATCGCTACTAGGAGCAAAGATGCTACTAGGGGCCTCTAGTATTGCAAGGTATATGCCTGGAGCAACTCTTGAGCCTCCTGCCACTAGCGCAGCTGCAGCTTCAGGCGACAAACTCACTAATCTAGACGGTCTTGATGGCCGTGGTGAAGCAGGACGAGCACGGGCCTGCAAACACACTACAGTATTTCACTTTTACTAAACAAGCCGTAGCTGTGCAGCTTGGGCCTTCCGTTTGGGCCTTTTCTTGCTCTTTGGCTCTCTGGCTGCTTCCTAGCCGCACTTTTGTGGTGTGCATGGCTGCCTGTCTACAAAGGAGCCCGTTGCCTCGTGCTTTGCAGGTTTTGAAGCCAGCTCTGATTCCGGAGCCTTCAGCCAAAGTTTAACAAGTCGCTTCTTCCGCGCTCTCGAAGCTCTGCACCTCGTCCGGTTTAGTTGTCGGCAATGGCTTGACCTCAAATCCAGGCCCAGGCAGCAGTCATTTCGGTGCCTAAAATGTGAGGCTGCAACATCATAGTACAGTGCTGCCAGGAACGGTACACCCTCGGACAGCTGGGGCTCTTTGGCCTTCACCTGGCAAGGTCGCAAGAACCGTAAGACCATGCAACAGCTGGGTACTGACTGAACGACCTGGCCCTGCCTGGGGCTGCTCCAGCAGTTCAGACAAGTTGCCTTAGCTGTAGCTCAGAATGGTGCACACCCATGCGTACCCAATGTACCATTGGACACTTCATCGCGATGAGCCGGGTTGTGAAAAATGAGCAAACATTGGGATAACAAAACAGTCAAGAAACAAACACGTCACAAGTTCCTGTCTTACGTCCACTCTCCTACCTCTCTCGTCCTCCTTCCTCCCCCGAGACAGAAAGCAAAGATTGACCGCCTCTGCGAACTCGCAGGGTGATGTTCTCTGCATTGGCTGTGACCGTGTCCAGCTCCCCTTCCTGACTGGGCAGTGCCAAAAATGCCCTCTTCCGTCTACCCTGACCAAAATATCCTGCCTCCAGCATCATCTTCAGGCTGTACTGGCCTTCTGGCAAGTCGGTTCTGACACCCCTTTAGTTTCTCGATGTTTCTTGCTGTAGATTCTCGATTCTCGAGAGGTTCCCACCAAACCACCCACTCACACTATCCTTGTTGAACTTGCTACCTCGTCGGGGCCTCTGCGATCAGGGCCAGCGATGATGGTGCCAGTGAGGCCTTCCAATGCTTTCGACGCTTTCTCACTAACTCTTAGGGCACGCGTTCAGGTATGTTCAGCTTTTGGAATGCAAAAGATGATCACTTAGGCTGAGTGCACTTGAACAACATATACCACATAGTAGCACTGTGGCGCTAAAAAATGTGATCAGGCCTTCAAGCTCTGGCCTGGTAGCAAGGCCTGTCGCAGAACAAGCAACAACCGAGAGTGGCGTCTGAAGCTACATAGCCTCTTTGACTCCAAGCCCCGCTGGAAATCCTGTGCTGGAGTCCTTTCATCTGTTCTTTCAATCTGTTTCTTTTAGAATCTCTTTAGCATCGTTTAGCCATAAATCGTGTGGCTCTTTGGTCTTGACTGTTGCAAGTCGCTGGCAAGGGCTACAGGGTGCTTTGACCAGTTTAACCCTGGAATCCAGCTGTTTCACCTCCATCGACCAGCAGCTGAATGCCCCGTACCATTCTTCCAGCTGGGCTGGTCAAGTACACTACGGCATTTGCTATATCTGAAGGCTGGACGATCTTCCGGCTGGGAGAACTTTTTGCATACTCTTCTGCGTCACCGCCGATCATTGGTGTTTCTGTGGCACCGGGGCAAACACAATTGACACGCACATCTTGACTCGCAAGTTCCAACGCCATGCTCTTGCAAAGTGCAATGCAAGCTGCATTTGAAGCAGCATATGCAGTTGCATGCGCAGCACCAACTACACCATAGTTTGAAGCGATTGCTATCAAGGAGCCGCCACCCCGCTATTCCACATGATGTTTCAGATGCTTTTTGGACTCACGTCCTGCCGCCCAATTCCGGCTCCAGCGTTGGCCAGGGCTCTGCACTCTCGACCAAGACAAACGACGTTGCCATCACATCGAAACGCCATAGCTCAGCCTGTCTCCCGAAAAAGGGGCCTCCCTACACATTCAATCAACTGAAAAGTGGCACTTTAAGAAACCGCGGCTGGACTGACCAAAAACTTCACCTCCAAGCTAAGTCTGACGTTACCAGAATCCTGCCGCGCGCATGGCTGATGTGTGCTCCAATACTCACAGTCACAGGCATAGATTTCGTATTGCTATGGTTTTGCATGTCTTAGCCTGTGTTTTTCAAAATTAGACACAGTTTCCACGGCATGCGTTGGTTGCACAGGCCACACTTGTTTTCTCAAAGCAATCGTCACAATCTGCTCAACCCCAAAACCTGGGCATAGGTTCTGAGGGCAGCGAACACGCAGTCATTGTGGCCACAGCCCTGGCAGATTGCCAGAATGGTGTCGGATGCGGTGACCACATTCTGCAAAGCATTGCAAAGCGAGTCAGGCATATAAGGCCCACCACAAATGATTCATTAGGATGGTCCTTATATGTCCTTATGACACAACGCCATATCCAAGCCTCTGGTTTCAGGAGCTTGCACTCCTTACCTTGTGCCTGGATAGACTCGAAAAGCTCCTTGCATGCAATCAAAAGGAAAAAGCAACACTCCAATTGATAGTGCCACTGAATGTCCCCTAAGACACTCCACAACCGTCCTCCCCATGTCGAACTGGCACGATCTCATCCAACTTAGGATGGATTATGGACACCTCGCAAACAATGTGGGGAACAAGTACGAATGCCAAGGGTGCAAGGACGTCGTTCGAACGCCCTGCCTCCCAACCGCCGAGCGCAGCCTTCGGAACCATTTCTGCATTGTTCCATCGGTGCGTCACCAGCGTTCGTAAAACTCATGGCGGGATGAAGCCAAAAATCACAGCAGCCATGGCCTCGGACCATGGCTGATCAAAGCTTCCGAAGGACTCGAAGTGGCACGAAGGACTCGCATCGCTAGTAGGTTGGAGGCCATCGCTTCTAGGTTGTGGGGTCCAATTCGGGGAGCCTCCCGGTCGGGGAGAGGTGGATGAAGGGGGCGAGACAATTCGATGCCGTGCCACCCCCTAAGGATTTAACATCTTGACTTAAACCAAGAAAATCCATCCAACGCCAACAGTTCCTTTATGATCCTGTCCCAATACATGTCTGCTAAAGCAATTCAAACTCAACCTTTCGTGATTTCTTGACAGTTTAGCAGTTTAAGACCATTCTAATTTCTTCTGCTCTGCTACCAAGGCTGGCCAAGTTTCGTCAATACTCAGGAATGGAGATGACAAGACCAAGCGCCCTGGTGGCAACTTGTAGGTGTCAGACCTGTCGTTCTCTTGCGCTCAAGCACCAAGTTTGCCTCAGCTGGTCCGAGCCTCGCCAGTTTGGCAGCAAGCTGAGAAGCAGCAGCAGCACCCAAGCTGTGTCCCAATAGATTCACTGACTGCGGAGGCCTCAGCTGAGAATGTCACAAATTTGCACTCCAGCTCTTGGCATGAACCCAATGGAGTAAGTGTCATTTTTCTTCAAAGATCTATTTAGATCGTCCGCTAGGGTCCACTGGATCCGCCAGGATGCGACTCAGCAAGTTCGCGCAAGACTTGCTCCAACGCTTGCTGTGATGCTTCAAGTGTGGAAGATGGAGATGGCTCACCGCCTCAGAATGCTTTGAGCTACTGGCTGCTGAGCTGGCCCCATGTATTCGTATTATTCGTTTTCAATCTTTGGTGGAGAAAAACAACCAGCCAATGGCTGGTTTCCCTCAACCCAGCTGATTGGCTCGTTGCTGCTGTGCTGCCGTTGTCGCCATAGCCCGGATAATCCACCAGCAAAAAGCTTGGTTGTGCCACTCCAGCATCCTGACAACCAGCAAATGATGCCTCCAGGCCTCAAGATGTCCTAAGATCTAACATCATTAAGTTTCGATGTTAACACCATCCGGCACCGAAGACCTACAGCAAACCTCAATGGCAGTCTAAATATTACAAAAAAATACTATATACAGTAAATAATGTACCGGAAGACCTCATCTTGCGCAACCTATCCTATCCTCTTCCTCCACACAAAATCCGAGATCGGAAGACCGTGCCCACGTTCATCACTACAGGTCACTCATCAAATCCTTCCTTGAAAGAGAGAATGCTCTCGCAGAAAGGCAGCCAATCAGCTGACACCATGGCATTTCCACCTTAGCTGAATTTGCTCAGGCAAATGCTAGGCCTTTGGCATGAAAGTCTCAGTTCATGACCGAAAACTAACCAAAGAGGCGCTGGCTTGTGCTGCTCTGGTCTCACCTTGGTGCTTCTTCTTTTTTGCAAACTCTTTTAGCAATGACTTGTGCAAAAGCAAAAGCCACCCTGAGTTTTCCACCAGAAACGCCTTCTGTGTCTGATTTCGCACCGTGTATTTGAGCTCCTGACGTTCAAAACAGGGACATCACATACGAGCACATCCATTCTGCAAAAACTCATTACATTTCACATCGGCACGTCTCAAGAGCTTTCCACCGCATCGGCTTCCCTCCCGTCTCGATCCTGAACTCGGTAGCCTCGCCGTTGGAGCTGCTGGGAGGTCTGGGACACCACCTTCTCGTAGTACCTCCCGGTCGCCGTTGGATCGGTCGCGTCCGATGTCTCGCTCCGTCCGAGGTCGCGGCGGGTCGCCCTGAATCGGGCGAGGATGATAAAGCCTGGCCGGGACGTTGGATGGATTTGAAGAGGATGTCCCATCAAGACCTTGGGTCATATGGACCTCTGATTCATAAACGCTGCCAGAATCATGTCAGCACAGTTCCCTGCACTGATTATATCATACAGGCCCCCAGAGTAATGTCCTTTTTGGGGCAGGAAAAATTTTTGGAACATAGTGTTTTATATGTTAGTTTATTGTGTTTTCCTCTAGGGTTTAATGATTTATTCAATGATAGTGTATTCCCTCAAAAATATATTTGCCCCCCTTCTTTGCTTCTGAAACCTCATGTGGTTCTTATGTTTCTTCTTCAGAGGCATCCATATGCTAAGTAGCTGTGTTTGTTCAATTGATTGTGTGGAAAAGATTCTATCTAACAATGCAGCTTTCCTGAAACTGATCTGCATTCCTTTTGTGTTCTTTTCCTTTTGATCAAATCTTTTAGTCTTCCAACATTTCACAAAAGTATGCGCGTACTTTTTTTACCAAAAATCATCATTCAAAAACATTGTGACAACAACACAAAATATTTCCAGCAAAGGGGGTAGTCCAGCAAGCAAGTGTCTAATTAATTATTTTGGGGGGCCTAAAAATAATGTCTAAAGATTTGGGGCTTCTTGGATTGCAGCTTTCCTGAAACTGATCTTCAATCTGTGTGTTTTCTTTTCCGTTTGATCAAGTCCTTTACTTGTCATAATCGCCTTAATCTTTTGGTCTTCCAACATTGTCCAAAAGTATGTGTTTGTGTGCACACTCTCTTTTTATAAAAATTCGTATTCAAAAACATTCAAAAAACAATAGATCATTCCAGCAAAGGGGGTGGTCCAGCAAGCAAGTTTCTGTCATTATTGTTGGGGGGGGGTGCTAAAATAATGGTTAGAGATTTGGGCTGTCTTGGATTGCAGATTTCCTGAAACTGATGTTCATTCTTCTTGTTTACGTATCCTTTTGATCAAATCTTTTACTTGTCATCTTCTCTTTAATCTTTAAGTCTTCCCCTTTATATCTCCATTCTGGGTTTCTTGTTTCCTTTGATGTTTAATTGCAAATGTCTTGAATCTTAGGTGTGTATTCCCTTCATTCTTATGATTGCAGATGTCTTCAATCTTGATTCCTTTCAGCCTTTCATTTTAGTATTGCAAAGAGCTCCAGAGATATTCATCAATGAATTGGTGTTCTATCATATCATTCTAGGGTCTCCAATTGTTGAGGGGGGGCGGGGGGGTTGATTAATCAAGAGTCAACATTAGTATGAAGAGGAGGTAAAAGAATTGATCCAAACAATTATCAAAAGAACATACGGGGAGGAATGCCATATATGCCATTCAAGGCACAATGCATTTTGCAGCTTCACAGCAGCAAGGCGAAGCCCGAAAGCTGCAATGCCGCAAACAGCTGCGCCAAGGATGACCTTCGATCTGTCCAAGCAATCGTCTGCGGCATCGCTACTAGTAAAAGTGCATCGCTACTAGTAACAAGGGCATCGCTACTAGTAACAAGGGTATTCTTCCATGTCTTCATGTCCAATTACCCTCATCTCGTTGTATGTTTCCGACAGGTGGATCTGGGTCGAACCATAGAACCATCTGGCATTTCCAAAGGGACGGTGTGTCCCTTTGTTTCTAGTAGCTTCTTGTTCCTAGTAGTAAGGCCAGGAGCCCCTAGTAGCGTCCTTGCTCCTAGTAGTGATGCCCTTTGCTCCTAGTAGCGTTATTGTTTTTGTCTAAATTTCGGGCATTGACATCTTTCTAGCTTTGCATCTCAACTCCGCTTGTGCTCAATTGTCATCCATCACATCTCATCACACAGCATTTCATCGAGGCACACGTCTCCTGAAACCGGTGTTTGCAAGTGCCGTGCTGCGTGCGGTGGATGCGGCAGGGGCCATGGTCAGTCTGAGATCCGGAAGGAGTTGGTGTGTGGGAGTTTTTTTCCTGACCTTGACGGTGGACATGTGGCATACTAGCAACAAGATGTAACAAGGGCATCGCTACTAGTCACAAAGGATCACAAAGGCATTACGACATGTCTTTTTTTTTACCATTTGGTGCCATCTGAGCGTCTTCGCCGTTCAGATCTTTGAGCCGCGGATCGATGGATGATGCAAATGCTGTAAGCTCGTAAGTTTCGATTAGGTGTTCAAAGTTCACCCCACGGCCTCCCAAACGGGCGGAACGGCCGTGGGCTGCTTGACCGCAGCCCTTCTCGTGAAGCTCGACCAGTGGCACCTAATCACAGGCCCGGCAACCACAGCCAGTTTCAGGGTCAAGGGACTGAGCACTGGACTGAGCAAAAAGACGTATTTTTGCGCCCAATGGCAGTCAAGCCACCTTTATGCGCAAGCGTCCCAGAAAAGCTCCGCCAAAAAAAAGGTGAACCTTTCCAAGATTCTGACCATTGTGGTCACTCGCCAGGCCTAGTTGTGAAGCACCTAGGATCTCCAAAGCAATTCTCCCAAGTTGGAAGCAATGACCTTACCAAGCATCTCTAAGCACTCGGCGAAGCCCTTCGATGCCTGGTAAGCAACAAATGCCAAACAACGGGAATCTGCCTGGCCTTGATCCCAGCTGCGAGGCAAGCTGAAAATTGGTTCTGGACTGCATCTGAGCAGCTGAAACGAGCCAGGAAGGGATTCATTGCATCCTCCTGAGCACGGCCGCCTTGCTGATGTAGCAAAATGGAGAACATGGACCAATATGAACTCTATATATATATATATGCGTGTGTGTGTGTGTCCCTATGTCAACCCCAAAGCTGATCCACAGAGGGCTATCCTGCCGCAGCCAGATTTTGGCCTATCTGTAAGTGTGGTCATTTTCAGCTCGCCCATCTTGGCCCGTCCAATCTGTACAAGGCGGGACCATTGGGGCAAGTGATGGAACTTTAACCTGCGCACTGACAACGAAGAGCAAAGAAAATAGATTCTTCCAAAGCCATGGCCCCTAATCTCCAGTTTATTCTCACAAGGTCACGATCCTTGTAACGTGAAGGTGGTCCCCAAAACATCCCAAAACAGCATTTGGGAGCATGTTTGGATAAGAAATCAGCGTACTTCTGCAGTCGCTTAGCCAGTCTCTTGTAATAACATGTAATAACCACCAACTGGATCCCGACTGCCAAATGAATCGTTTGTCCTAAACACGCATAACAAGCAATTGATCAATTGATGGGATCGGACGGCTCCAGGGCCTGGCAAACCCTTCGACTCAGGGTTTGCCAGGCGAGAAGTTGCGATCAAAGTAACAACCCCTATAGCTTCATATAGCTTCCAGCTGACTGGGGAAGTAGAGGCCATGGCCAGCAATCCACTGTCGCCAGGGTTGGGAAGGACGATAAAAAGAAGTTTGCCTCTTCGAGACATGCGTTGGCAAATTGGCAAAGCAAAAAGTGTAGGCCCGTAGGCCACCAAAACCATCGAGGTTCTGGCATTTGTCGTTGAAAGCTCCGAATCCAAGTCAACAACTTGTCCTACAGGCTACGGCAACACTGAACCTGATATCTGACAAACATAGTCATTGGTGAGCGTGTCACGATGCCTTGAGCCGACTTTGGCCGGCACTGGGGAGTTCTTTACCTGTTCTTTTGGAACTGACAGACTTCTATCAGCTCTCTCGTCTCTCCCCATAGCTTGCCAGGCCATGCCTGGAAGCAGGATATGAATTCCATTGCGATGACATCATGCATGTGGGCTGCCCCACTCCTAAAGCTACAATCCCATGAAAGTGCCACGCAACATTCCAAAGCAATACTCGTCCAATACCTTCCTTTTCCATCATGCTGATGTAAAAGGTGTAGACACATCATAGGGTGATCCAACTATAGCTGAATAGTTTTTCCATGCAGTGCATTCCGGGAACAGCACGGCAATCGGCAGGCAGTCTGGGACCGATTTTGGTTTGCTAAACGGAGGCAACCAAACTCACACGACTTGTGCAAGTCTCGTTCCTCTCGAGATGCATCTGAATATCCAGTGCTGTAGTCAAAACCAATTTCATTGGTGACCTTGCAAAGTCTATCTGCTAATGTAAGGCCTCAGCTCTTTTAGGATTTGCTTCTCAGGCCCTCAGCTCATGCATCCGCCTCCGATGGGTGATTTGAATATGTTGGATCATGTCTGTTGCATGATGTGCATAATCATGTCTGAGTCACTTTATGAATCTTCAATCTACTTCAATGCCCTTGCAGCGCCCCCTTTTCTGCATATGCCACTCTTGCATCTCAACTGAGAGGCTCCACAGGAAGGCTTTGACGAATGTCCTCACTCGAGGCCCCCAGATGGACGGTCACTTTGGATTGTTCCACCTGCCGCTGTGCCACAGACGCTGAAATGGAAGACATGGCAACTCACAAATCTCAACACTTTGGGCTGCCATCTGCAGCCAAGACACCCATCCACCTGATTGCAAGGCTGTTGAGCAACTACAACCATGGTTAAAACGTAAAGACAAGCCAAAACCATGGTTCTTTAAAAGAATCCTTTTTTGTTGGTGATTGCTTCCGGTCATGATGCAATGCAGTCAGACCAGATATGACTAGATTCAACTGATACATTTGGGTCCAGCACGCTCAGAAGAGAATAGCGTGAAGTCCTCCGGCGCAAAGTTGAAGAGCACGGTCTCAGTCTGGCCGGGCTTCAGTTCCTGCGCACTTGATCCGTTCGGATTTGGATCAACAAGAAGGCAACAGGCACCTGGGTGCGATGAAATCCTTTCAGCACTTTGGCCTTGGTTACAAACATCCTGCAATGGCAAGCCCAGCTTAAGATTCTGCCTGATTTTTCTCCAAGGTACAGGAGTGGATTTGACCCATTTCTCCTCAGCTCCGTTTTCTCCGAGTCATGCAAATCTTCCACTGGAAAAGCCTGTTTTAGCCGAGATGCATCTCCTCCACTTGGCTCGGGAAAATGCAAATATGCCTCTACAACAGGCGATGCTCGGAGTGCACACAAAACAAACAAGTATTCTTACAACATGGGCGAATGGTCCGAACATGACACCTTGGATGATCAAAGTCTGCCTGCACGACCTCCTCACCAGCTGTCTTTCCACTGTTGGTCACAGTGACCTCCACGCACGCAGCTGCTTGACAGCCTTCTCGTGTCTGCTGAGCGCCAGAGAACCTCAGCGTCGAAGTCACAGAGATGGACTTTTCAGCCAACATCAGCCAACCAATAGCAGCAAAGCACTGACCATGCATGCAAAGTAGCTCGAAAGTGGTGTATGTCAATCCATGTCCAAAGGGGAAGGCCGCCTCGCAAGGATAAACATCAAAGAACCAAGAGCAGCCGGGGCTGCCGCCTTGAAAGAAGGAGACCGATAAGATGTCAGCAGCCCCTGAAGCCACCGCAAGGTCTCATAATCTCATCTCTGAAAAAATGGAAGCGTAATTATGTAAAGGCATCTGACAACAATTGAGGCTCCTCAGAGTAGTCCACTTCGCGATTCTCCCCAATCTGAATCGTATCATTGATGGTCTCAGGCATCATAAGAGGAAGCCTAGCAGTGACTCAGCCTTCAGCACTTCTTGTCCGGCATCATCCGATGAGCTTAGACTAGCAGGCCTTCCTGTTGGGAGTTTGTCTCCAAACAGCACGCTGGCCCAAGCGGCGCCTGTCCTCAGTTGGCGGGTCAAGTGCTACCTTACGTCATACGTCATTCTAAAGCCTGTGTGTGAGCTTCGTACGCCACACCTCCCATGAAAATGCCCGCAATAGCTCCAACCTCAGGTGCTCAAGGGCTGCCCTTTCACAAAAGAACGTCTGTCACTGTCACTGGCCTCTCCCTTCCAAGGCATTAACACCTTAATGGATGGGCTCAATTTGCATCATCCATTGATCCGGAGGACTCTGACAGGCTGTCCCAGCCCCAGCTGCAAATTTAAGAACTGCAATAACACACCAGCAACGGCAGCAACTCACTTCACCCTTTCACCTTTGATCGACCGCGCGTGCGTCCGAGCAAGCAGGGCAGGGCCAAAGGGAAACTGTGACGCCAAGTGGCGTGGCGTTTGGAAAATGAGCGGAAGCTATGAATGGTCATTAGCGAAGCATACCTTTCAAAGGTAGGTGCGGGTGCTTGTGCCCGCGCACTCAGCGCCCTCCCCGTTTTCACTACTGGAGGCGCTCAAACCGCTGGTGTCGCCAGCATCCTCGGAGTCTGAGTTCTCCGCTTCTACGGGTGTCTTCAGCCACCTGCAGGTGACATGGCTACTTTGCTGGGCAACATGGCCTGGCTGCGGCCCAGCGGCCGGGACATCATCCTCCTCCCTCTGCACTTCCAAGCCTGAATCGTTCTGTCTGACTGTCTTTCATTTATAGTTAGTTGGATGCAGTGATACAATTCATGTGATCATGCTTGCACTTTGCAAATGACGGGTGCGAGTCAAGCTCTTTCTTTGAACAGGCCGAGGTGCGAGGTGCGACAACTCCACACAACAAAGGCAGGCCTCAGAGAGGCGCAATCCACAGCTAAACGAAGCGAAGGGACTGAGGATGACTGAGGTGAGGACTGCTAGACCAAGGAATGTGACCAGCAGAATTGAGCCAGTGTTGCCTGACTAGCACTGTTCTGGACTCTTCTGGGCCGAACAAGCTCCAAAAGGCCGCTGGTGTTCTTCCCAAAGCTTCCATGGTCTCGAATTGGTGTTCAAAAGCCTGTGGTGACAATTGGGCGCCAGGCGCATCTTTGGTTTCCCCTTTTGAGGCACCACCAATTCCTGTGACAAACGCTTGGTCTGACATTCTCTTGTGACTCTTGTGCAAGTCGATCCATGTCCTGGTTGCTGGTGCTTCCGGAAGGCGACGAGGGAAGTAGTGTGGTGGTCCCTTGTGAGGCATCACATGAATTATAAGAAACCTTGAAGAAGTCTGAGATAGTCTGAGCGCCTACAACATTGGCTTGAGACCCACCAGTCGTTGTCTGCAATGTGCGTGGCAATGAAGTTGAGGCAACATTGACCGCCATGGGGTTCATCTGGCCAAGGTAAATTCTGCGTGGTCATTACCCTACTGTACATCAACAGAACTCCATTGCCAATTGGACTCAGAGACGACGTAAAAAATGAAAGAATCGAAAACTCACCAAGCTTCCAGCCATGATCTGCACCTGAGCCAGGCGCAGGCTATCACAGGAGGCACGATGGATGACAGCAACAAATATAAAATCGATGCGGGTCATTGTTTTTGAGTAGAATATCCGGAAGCATCTGATGGATGGGATAGGCACTTGGAGGGTTCGGCAGGATGATTTGCAAGTTGGAATGTCAATAATACAACCCATATTGAAGGCATCACAAGCATCTAAAGTTAATGTTTGGACAAGCATCCACACGGAGTGAATCGCCCTCAACATTTGCAAGGATCGTGGAATCTTGCAATAAGCCTTCCAGGGTGACCAAATTCTGCTCCCTTACCATCCTCGGGCAAGATCTTGAGTCATCGTTTGGGCTGTTTTTGTGTGCTATTTTGCAAGGAAGCTTCGACTGCAGTGTTGAGCCCGGTGGTATGGACAGTATGCCCTGCACCATGCAAGTGTCTTTGGAAGCACCTCGGCCCCGCTATGACTCCCATGACTCTTGTCTGCTTGTTTTCATCGCGGTGCACAACTTCAGGACTGCTCGTTCGAGCGTTTTGAGATCAGCACTGACAG